TTGCCTTTCATAGAAGGCACATCCCTTGGGCCCTTCCATTGGTCCCCAGTGACAGAGAAGGTCTCCAGGGGTGGATACCTGAAGGGTGACGTTGAGAGGCTGGAAATGACACTCCAGGTCTTCCAGCTGAATGAAGCTGGATGCGTCCACAGACTCGCCATACACAAAGGAGGTTGGAGACATGATTCTGAAAGAGGAAAGCATGAAATCTGTCATCCCAACCCAGGGTCACTGTTACCCTGAGAACCCAAACATCTGTCCCTATTTAATCTAGAACCTGGCTCCCCACAGTGTCCTCCACCAAACGCTTCCCTTCTGGAACCGCTCCTTCCCTCTCCTGTAAATGGACACAGCCAGACCTACGCTTTGTAAACAGACATTTCCAGTAATGTCTTGTCATCTTAGGTGAAATCAATAAGCTACGTATACAAACATGTACCAGGATTACATTTTTAAAATGAGGAGGAAGACGATGGTAGCTTTGATTTCTGTTTTTTTTTTAAACTGGATTATAAAATTACGCATGTTCTGTTTTGTCATTTGAAAAACATTTTGTGGATTGAAAAAGAGTATGACAATTTAAATGAATTATATATTTGGCATCCTAAGCCCCACTCTGTGACAAATTCATTTAAAAAAAATAAAGATTTTCCGACTACCAAAATTACTAGGAATTAGGTATTAAAAGTTGAGTCCTCTCAGTGATAGCCTTTTTACTTCAGATTTCAAACAGTGGCTACGTAAGATGTGATTAAGAATTCCGGTTCATTCTGTAGTGATGCTTTCAACGTTGCCCGCAAAAACAAACCCCAAGATTAGACAAAGCCAGACTTACTTAAATTCTCAGACAAACAATGGATTCTAGAGGAGATTCTAGAAGCTGCTCACTTGCCTAAACACAATAATGTAAGATTTTTGGTACCAAGTGTGAATGGATAGCAATTCACCTATTTTCAACTTAACGTATATTAGAGTTTGGAACTGCAGTGAGTTCCCAGTACCACCCAATGGCAAGAGCTGGTTCATTTAAATGAGCCCCGTCTTATGTTCCTGGAAGTATCAGCGGTTCACTCGTTTGTTTAACTGATGGCTTCGTCCGCAGGGGGAGGGGGGCTGGCGGGGGTGGGGGGGTGCTGTTAACACCTCACAACGAGGTCTCTGAGGGCTGGACAACGGGATCAAGTGAGCCTGTGTTTTCTCTTTCATCCCCCAAGGACGGGGCTTGGTCCTGGGGATATTCTCACTGTGCCTCTGAGGAGACAAGTAAATAAACTACAGGGTTAAAAATAGAGCCATGAACAGAGGCAAATCTGTGTTAATTTGCAAATATATTCCACCAATGCCTCATGTCTAAAGAACGTGATGAAAAACGCCAAGAGGCAGGAACGCCCACCGGAGACTCATTCCTGACACCCAGCAGAGTGGGGGAGCTTTGCAGGGATGGTTCCTTCTGCAACGCATTAACTTTTTTACTTCCAGCCAAGGCCGGGACCCAGAAGCACTTGAAAACTGAAAAATGAGAAACTTTGAACCTCCAGAAAGTTCAGCTTGCCTGTGGGGCAAGGGTTCAACAGGTCCTCATTTGATCTAAACTAATTGTGCAAATCCTTTTTCCACTATCAAAGAAGTATGTGCTCTGTTTCTGAAGCCGGAAACAGGAACTGACTTCTCATTTTTCCAGGCCTGGGTTTTGGCTGAAAACCACCCCGGGTTGTTTTGGGTGCCTGCCTGCAGCCCTGCTTTCCAACAATGCCAGCAGCATTGAGTGGCCAAGGACTTCAGCCAGGCAGATGGTGGGCCTGCTGTGATCGGCCCTGCCTGCTGGCTCTGCAGAAGGGTCAGAAACACGCAAAGTCAGCGGTGACTCGAGGCTAATCAGAAAGCAGCCCAGGCTTCCTGGGAGCCAGCCAGGGCACTGGGATGCATCTGGTCGTAACCTCTGGCCCAGGAGCCTTTGGCTAAGGTTTTAATCCCAGGAATCAAGCTGCCTCCTATCCTATGACACTCTGGAGGGGTGGGCACTGGGAAGAGATGCATGGAAAGATGTACAGAATATTCAAAGAAATTATGGGGCTTGTATTTGTCATCACACTTCTTGTGTTACCTACCAGGTGGGTGGGTAGCTGGGAAAGAGGAGAAAATCAGGGAGGAGGACATGAGTCACTGCAGCTAAAGCTTCATCCTGCATTTCAAAGCTGGGCAGGAGCGGAAGTGGCAGGGCTGCTGGCTCCTGGCTACACAAGCAAACATAAGAGAAGTACAGTGTTCCGCTCCAGGCAGATGTGTCCCGGCTACTCACCCAGTGATGGATGTGTCCACCTCGTGCATCAGCGGCACTGTCAGCGTGAGGGTGTTGTCGTGCAGGGACTCTGAGCGCTCCATGTTGCCGCTGTGCAGGGAGAGAGGAGGGGACACTGGTCAGCACAGCCCGCCCACAGCGGGTGTCTCCCCTCCCTGCAACAGGTCTCCGTTCTGCACCTTTTTACCCTCAGCTCTGTTTTTGGTCCCTGTATGGCATCCCAGTGCCCTATGGTCTCAGTTGTATTCCCCCCCACAAAGACATGAGTGGGGAGTGGAGAAGGGAGACAGGAAGGAAGGCAGGCAATCAGGGCACGTGATCCAGCAGGTCAGGGCTGTGGGCAGCTGGGCTCGGTCTGGCCAGGGAACTCTGGGAGGCAGCGTTGAGCACCAACCCCAGTCTCCCTAACTGAGGCCATGGGAGCTGATCCACTGACTCCTGAGGCCTGCTGAGGGGCGGGGAGGGGGCATTAAATCCCTGGCACCTGCCCTATGTGCACAGGTGAGGGGGGGTGTGGCCAGAAAAAGCCTCAGGCAGAGAGGCAGGTGCTGGGAGCTGGGAGCTGTCCAGTGCGTGTGTGGTGGAGATGAGTGCTGAGAGGTTATGGGTGGGCACCAACAGTGTGTGCTGCTTCTGCAAGGCTTGCTCCATGAATAATGGACCAGCAAGGTTAGGGCACTGCAGCTGGGAAGGGGTCTGCTGGACTTTAGCAGCTATTTCCCATCTACAGGCATCACCCATCATCCACTGACAACCAAGCCCAGGAGAGAGGTCCTGGTCAACCCCGTCCTGATAAATATCATGGGAGTTCCTGTTATGGAACTCTGGCTCCAGCAGGTTCACATACGGGCCTTCCCCTTGGGGTGAGGAAGCACAGAATGGGGAGTCTTGCAGGGTCATTCTGGAAAGGTGAACACAAGAGGGCTGATGCTGTTGAGGGCTACCATGTGCCAGGCACACTCCTCAGCATGACTGAGCTGGGTCCTCAGAGTAACCCCGGAGGGAGGGGCTCACCCACCACTGACAGGTAATAATCAGCTCAGACAGATTAGGTAACTTGCCCCAAGCACCCACAGCAACCAGGACAGTCTCCAAAACCCGTGCTTTTCCACTGTGATGGCTTCTCCTGATACCAGATTTGGGGGAGTGAGGGAGGGGAGAAGGAAGAGGAGAGGAAGGGAGGAAGAGGAGGAAAAGGAGGAGAAAGAAGACCTAGTTTCCCTTCACTACTTTATGAAATTTCAAACATGAATTGTGATCATTATTGTAGGGAAGCAACCACCTTGGGAAAAAGCACGGCTACTGGGTATATGGTGCTGAACCCAGCACCTGGTTCTACCACACAGAGTGAACAAAGGGTCCCAGTTGAAAGCTAAGTTCACCCTCCAGGGGTGGAACATAAGAGTCCACAAGACCTGCTGAGGTTTGGACACAGCTCATCTGCACCACTCCCCACCCATCATTCCCTGAACCTGTGCAGAGTTCCTGCCGGCTCCCTGCCCTCCCTCTGCCCCCACTGCCTTCCTCTCCTCACCAGCGAGTGCTGAATGCAACCATACTTCAACAGCTCACATCCCCTCTCCTCCTCTCTCCTATTGTTCTGAAACAATGGTGCTCTGTGACTCTGACCCCTGACTCCTCATCTGTCTTCCGCATATGGGGTGAATCCATCACAGTTTACAGAAGCTGCAGGATCAGGTGCCCACCTGGCCTCACTTCCTTGCCCTTCCTTTCCCAGAGGGGACAATAAAAGCTGTACAATCACTGCTCAGGGCAAACCAGAGGTGACTCCTGAATGGATGGGAGGATGGCAACGCCCGGGCCTGCTCCCTCCCCTCACCCAGCATCCTGCCAGGTCTGAGTAATTGGTTCCTGATGGAAGCGCCACCCCGTGCCCTGCCATTTGTCCAGCCACCTGTGGCCGCTGGCAGCTCTGGCCCAACAGTCTCATCTGTCATCGGGTGACTGCTCCAGACTGAGTGAAGTTGCAAAGTTGAGATAAAGAGGCTGAACATCAAAAGGCCCCCAGTTATTCTGCAAGCTCGTGACTTGGGATAATTCCCATGGTCTGCAGAGCCAGGCTGCTGAGACAGGAGCTCTTGAGAAACTGTTTAGTCTCAACTTTCTGTCCTCCTAAATCCACAAGTAGGCAAGAGATCTTCAAAGGGTGGTGACGGGAAGAAAAGGACGATTGGTATTTTAACTGTGGCTTTCAAGATAAGGAGCTTTAAGGATCTTTCCGTCACAGTACGGAATCAAGTGCTGTGGGTGCCCTCTGGGACAGTAAGACCAGATTTTCACCAAAGTCTGCAGAGAAATGGGTGCCTGAAATATTCTGCTGCAAGTTTAATAGATAACACAGCTTCCTAAACATCTGTGATTCAAGAAATTAGAAGATTCTGATATTTAATTATTTAAGCGACCAGTATTAGGTGTTCCCTAATGCTATATAGAAATACTAATGTACATAAAGGGATGTTCTTTAATTAACTTATTAGCATTTTCTTATATGCCCAGCACTGCATCTGGCAAATAGTAGGTGCTTAACAGATGTGTGTTGAGTGAAAATGTGCCTAGTATAGAGTAAGGGACTATACAGAGTAATCATTTGATGAACCTTTAAAAAAATCCCAATGCCCAGATCTCACCCCAGACAAATTAGATCAGGATCCCTGTAGGGTGGACCAGGCATCGGTAGTTTTTAAGGCTCCCAGGTGATTTCAATGGGCACCTAAGATCAGAACACCACTGGTCTATGGACATGAGATTCTAGTAGATAAAGTTTCTGTGTTGTTTGCTCCCCTTCTTTGACACCTCTGATTAGCCCTAAATGGGATTGGGAAGTAGGTGGAGTTTCCTCTTTTTGACAAGGGAAAGTCTCTTCCATGTCATATTTCCTGCCCAAATGTTCCTTCCCATGAATATCAGCTGCTCCAGGTGTTGAGAGACCCAGACAGCACACTGATAGATCTGCCCAACAATGGCGAGTTTTCTGTGGTTTCTAGAAACAGCAGGAGAATGAGAATTTTCAGGTTGGAATAAGCATCTGCCCCCCTTTATTAAATCCAACAGTCTTGTGCTCTGTGGGCAAGCCATTGCATTGTACCACTCCCCTCTTCAAAAACTTTCAGTGGCTCCCCACTGCCTGGGGAATGCAGTTGAGGCTTTCAAGGCCCTCCGTGGACCAGCCCAATCTCCTCTTTCAGCCTCATCTTCCTTCTACTGCCCTTGTATGTCCCCCACCCTTCCTCTGAGATGGTCAGGAATCCCCAATGCACTTCAATGCCCACCAGTCACATGGGTGTGACAGAGTAGGCTGTGCCATGCACATCCTCACCACTGTGCCTAGGCTTCTTCAGCCCAAAACCAGACTCCTCTGTGTAAATGCCACCTCCCCAGGGAAGCCCTTCTGGATTCTGGCAGTGGGAACAAAGTCTACCTTCTCTATGCTTTGCGTTTCTATTAGATCACAGCCATGCTTTATGTAAACGTGAATGATGTGATATTGAAAATAGTGTGAATAAAAAATAATCACGTCTTGCATGATTTCAAAGCTGGCAAGCTCAGACAATTGTCATCTGTGTTGAAATGCTATTATTCCTGTGGCAATGCTACCCTGACAGACAGCGGGAGCCATGCTGCACTGGAAAGTTGTGCAGGAGTTGGGGGATTGCTGGGCTGTATTTTAACATTCACTGTGGTTCTTATTTCCATCTGGTTTGCATGTCCTATTGCAATATGTAGGATATAATTAGTGTTTGTTAAGTCCCACTAGTGCTGAACTAAAGGCCAGAAAGTCATCACCTTTGGAGTGGAGGCTGAATATGACAACACAAGGTAAAGAGGGTCAAACAACCACTGTGACGTGCTGTGCTCTCATTTTTAGGAGAAAGAACATGCTCTAAGATATTAAGGAAAATGCTAAAAAAAAAAAAAAAAAAAATAGAGAAAGCATCATTAAATGCAAAAATATGCTACAGTGGTGGTGGATTGAAGGGCTCTGAAAATGTATACTTCCAGCTTCACAGTGGTTCCCAAAGGAAAATTAATCTTAATTCTGTGAGCTTTAAATAACATTGAGACTGAGGAAGGACTCCAGTGAAAAAATAAAACAAAGCCTCGTTGAGTGTTTGCCCCACCAGTCCTGCTGCTGTCTACTGTTGGGTTGTATTTGTTGGGGCCTGACCTGAACCTCCCAAATGCCCAGTGACTTCAGGCTTTGGGGGCAAAGCCATTAGTTAGTAAGAGGCAAGAATGGACCAAGGGTGATGTTGAAAGATTCAGCACTTGGGAAGAATCTTAGTCTAACCTTTGACTAATTGGTGTTTTTGTGAAAATTCAAGAATCACTCAGGCTGGGGTGAGTACGACAGGGTGTTAAAATGCAAGTTTTGGCTGAGGCATAATAGATGCCAAAATTCAGAGGAAAGCACTAAACCAGGATTTACTATGTCTGGTGGCAACAACCCAAACTATAATGTCAAGGATGTAACAGAGTCGGGAAAGGAGGATTGTTGGAGACAGATTTTGGAGAAAATGGTTTGTGGTCAGGGGAGGGTGACTGCCTTTTAAGTTAAGCTTCAGGGGACCTTGATCAGGACAGTCAGATGCAGGCCCAGGAAATGTAAGGGGAGGGGGCTGCTGGCTTTCCCCTCCTGACTCCACAAGGATCACCTACCATTCCAGAGACTGTCAGGGCAAAGATTCCTGAGTGGTATCTACAAGCAAGAGCCAGGGTAGGGTCACCTTTGGTCCTGTCCCGGGGCACAATCTGGGCAGCAGGAACTGAAGGCATCTTTGGCCGCCTAGAGGCTGAGGTTGGAAGATGTGGTAAGGGAGGAAGCACAGGTGAGCCTCCCCAGTAGTGGGAGGGCGGAGGGGGTCCCCAAAGGGGAGGAGCCAGCTCTGCATACCCAGACTGAGTGAGTGCCTGCAGCAGTGCCTGGTAAGAAAGACCTTTCCTGTTTGCCTTTTACCTCTCACAACCCCTGCTGTGAGCCTGGGGGGCTCTCAGGAAAAGGGGGAAAGGGCCAGTAGAAGCACCACTGCAGGAAAGCTAGACTATTCCCGGAGAAAGGCTTCCCTCCTGCAGCCTTGCCCTGGCAGAAGGGAGGAAGCCTTAACTTGAAATCAAGTTTTGATTATTTCATGGGACAGGAGACACTTTGATTATGGATTTGTGCATTTGCTTTGAGGCTTGAAGCAACTATAGGAGCCCAAGAGAAGGGCTTTTACCAACTTTGGTCCCTGCTGTATCTGCCCTTGTCTCACACAGTGGCTGGTTGTAGTAAGTGCTCAAAGGTTTGTAGAATGAGTGAGGGACAGTGCCTGCCCTGGGCTGTTCTGCCCTACTTCCTGCACTGAGCCATGTCTGCCTCTGTCTCTAGACTGACCCTGTCTTGATGAGGTTTGAGATGGAAGACTCTCTCATTCATTCATCCCGGCTCCCTCTCAGCTTCTGCTCAGTGCTTTACATTTGATGGACATGAATGGGGTTGAGAGGAGCGATCCAGAGCTGGACCCCTTGCTCTACCTGGGGGTCAGATAGATGGCTGAGCCGGCACCTGTTATCTTGAACGATGGGGCTCATCTGAAAAGTCCGGGAGATGACCTCCTCTTTCAGAATGTGGGACCAGGAGCTCCTTCTCAGTGCCCGAGGGTGCAGTCCTCCTTGGAGGAAGTCTTGGGTTGAGCACCCTCATTTCAGAGGTGACCATGTGGGTGGGGGCCTTAGTTTTACAAGGCTCAGCCCCTTGCCTCGCTCTGCACCCCGGATTCAGTGGGTCTCCAGTCTTGGCCACATGCTAACCTGTGGTTGCACAATCGCCTTTCTCTGGTTGACCTGAAGCCCCTGGTTTCATGGTCTGCTCATCTAGTGTCTGGCCTTCCATTTTCCCGGCCTCCATTAGCCATGAGGTTCCTGATTTTGTTATCTCACCTTTTTTCTGTGGACCTTGCCTGACCTTGGGCTTCCCAGTGTTTGGTTCAGATCTCCAGACCACCTCTGGGATAGACTCAGATCCCTTGGCATGAAAGTTTGTTTTGGAGATTAAGGCAACTAGAGATAAGACATGATAACTGAATGCCTGATCCTTGATCAGACTCTGGACCAGTAAAAAAGTGGCTACAAAGTCATTTTTGGGACAACTGGAACATGGACTAGAGATTAGATAATAGCATTGTATCAGCGTTAATTTTCCTGAATTTTATAACTATACTGGGGGTATTTTAGAGAATGGCCTCATTCTTAGGAAACACATGAAGATACTTATGGGTAAAGAGGCATGATGTCTGCAACTTACTTTCAGATGGTTAAGTGGAAAAAATCATACACAGAAAGAGAATGATAAAATAAATGAGGCAGAGCGTCAAGACTGAGTGAATCTGGGTAAAGGGTATACAGGAGTTCCTTGCACTATTCTTTGCAACATTTCTGTTAAGTTTAAAATCATTTCCAAATAAAAATTCAAATAAAAAGGTTGCCTTGGGTATCCAACCTATACAGTCAAAGCTTGTATCTCCCTATTCACCCACCTAAGTACCTCTCCTTCCAGCCCAGCTATCGGCCAAGGGCTACCCAGATGGTACTTCAATGCACCTGTGGATTCTGGCTTGTGGAGGCAGCTCATGACCCCAGAGTCTCTCTCAAGCACCCTTGGCTCTACTGGAGAGAGAGAGGCAGGAGCACAGTCCTGAGGGAAGACATCACTACTGCACTGTCCCCTTCCCTATCTGTCCACTCAGCTCCTAGGACAAGCCCTCTCTTGAGGACCATCTCTTGGGGGCCTCCACCAACAGGCTTGGCCGGGCCCTCAGGCTGCAGGTGTCATGTCCTCGCATCAAGGGACGCTGGGGTACATCCATGAGAAGCCACTGACCACAGAGGACACTTGTGAACTAACCAACCACATAAGCTTGGGCTGGAATCCTGACCTCTCCAGGCCTGTCTCTCCTCAGCTGTAAAATCATTTACCTCTGACTGGATGAACCCCTAGTCCTTCCCAGCTCTCTCTGAGCTGGTGTCTGCACAAGCGGAACTAGACAAGCACCATCCTTGAGAGACCCGATTCTATGCAGCAGTTTGGGGCTTTATCACTGAGCGGTTCCTTCCTCCTCGGCGTTTTGGGCATCATCATCAAAGCATGACCAGGGCATGACCTTTCTTGGTCCCATAAATCTTTCATCTTTGGAAAAAATTTAAATCCCCCTTACCTCTGAGCAGTAACGATGAAGCTAAGAACTTCCTCTTCCCCAGACAGGTGGCTTGTATCAAAGATCACGCTGAATTCATACTATGGGAAAAGAAAGTGACATTTGGCATCAGCCAGCATTCCAAACTTAAACACTACAATCTTCTGCAGTTTATGACCTCTGGATGCTCATTTGCACGGCAAGCTTTATTCTGTGTGCATTTCTCTCTGACGGTCAGGCCAGAGATACAACTTTAGCAATAAAACCCAGAGCCCACTCTGGCGAGAGGCACGCTGTTCTTTTCAGCAACTGAGGTTTTCGTTAGGAAGCGATACACTTGAACTCTTAAACCAGGACTTCCTAAATTTCACTCACACACCATCATCCCAGTTTTTGCCACATCTGCTTATCATATCACCTGTGATATGTACTTTGTATTTTTATTGCCTCACTCTTGCTGTTTAAAGACTATTTTAAAGAGAAGAATTTGTATCACTATCACAGATGGGAATCCAGGATCACTTGCCATAAAGAGGAGGTTATCATAAAAATAAACATAATGGAAACAAAGGGATGTTGAATTCTGTTGCCTGCTGAAGGCTCTGGGCCTAAGGTCTGCTCTATTTTGATAAAAGGGAGATTAACGACTGATAGGGAGGTGTTAGAGATATTGTAGAGCTACCGGAGAATTTCTCCCACAAAAAGTTAGGATTGAAAGAGTGTTGAAAAGGTAATAAATTTCTGTTAGAGTCAACGTGGTTTAGTGCTATGTCCATGTATCACCTAAAAGCATCTCATGAGCCACCCAAAATCATCTCAAGTACTCCCAGTGGTGGGCACCCTGTGATTCGGGGAACACTGCTCCAAGCAAATGGTTTTCACCATATACACACTGGGCAAGTGTGGGAATCAGGAAGGACCCCTTGGGCAGGGCTTATAGAGCCAGGCCCTACCACAAACTATGTGATCTTGGCCAAGATACTCGATCTCTTTGCTTTTCAATAAAAAAAGAAGAGGGTGGGCAAAATGATCCTTAAATTCCATCAAGTTCTGAGAGTCTATGACTTATTTAATATCTAAATATTTGTTCCTTTATGACGTCATTTCGTTCCTTTATGAAGAATTCTAGGCAATGGTCTAACTTTGCAACACTGAATTCTACTGAACTAAATGCTACCTGAAAGTAATTAACACTGGATCATGACTTTGGACCATCAAGTAGAGTGGATGCTGGACATCCCTTTCTAGACAGAAATTTCTGTTGCAGTGAGACCTGTCAGCTTACAGTGAGGGTGGGGCATGGAGACAGGACAGGAAATAGAGCTGGAGGACCCAAAGGAAGGGAAAGTCAAGGGTCTCATTGCAGCAGAGAGTCTGAACTGGCAGGAGATCTGAATTAAACCCTCTAAAGATCAAAGTGAGGTAAGAAGCAGAAGATTTGAGCACAAAGCCAAAATGAGAGCCAGAGGCCTGGGAGAACAGAAGGTCAGGGACTGGGCAGGCTGGTCATGAGAGACAGAAACATACGGCCAGTGAAGTAAGCAGATAGTGTGGTCATGAGGCTTAGCAGGTGGTCTGGAGCCTGATGACCCACAGGGTCTGAGGGCAGGGGAGGACAAGCCAGGCTGTGGATAGAGGGAGCCCCATCCCTGCTGGGTCGCTTCTGGGGCTTTCTCCAGGGACTCACCCCCAGAGCCCTGCCTCCAGGACCAGCCTTGCTACAGGTCTTCACTTTTGCATGTGGAGGAAGGCAGTGACATTGCCAAGCTGGAAAAAAAATCCAACATCCAACATCCATACTTCTGTTGGCTCTGTGACTATTTTGAGAGAGAATGAATGAACAAAATTTAAGGCCCCAGAAGTCAAGGTTACTTTATTTTCATTGTATTCATTTATTCACTTTCTCTTTATGGGAAGTGATCCTGGATCCATCTGCAACAAGTTTTCCTTTTAAAATATCTTTAAAACTAGCAAGACGCACCTTAGGTTTGAGGGAAGGAGGCTGGATTTTACAACAAAATGTCTACTTTTTCTTTTTTTCGGTACGCGGGCCTCTCACTGCTGTGGCCTGTCCCGTTGCAGAGCACAGGCTCCAGACGCGCAGGCTCGGCGGCCATGGCTCGCGGGCCCAGCCGCTCCGCAGCATGTGGGATCTTCCCGGACGGGGGCACGAACCCATGTCCCCTGCATCGGCAGGCAGACTCTCAACCACTGCGCCACCAGGGAAGCCCAAAATGGCTACTTTTAAAGTGTTTCAATTAAGTCTATTTCCTGTTGCTCAAAAGATTTCAATAAAATGTGTGTGTGTGTGTGTGTGTGTGTGTGTGTGTGTGTGTGCGCGCGCGCGCGCATTGAGTGCCATATTTTACTACAGGCAATGATGCTCAGCATTCAGGGTCCTCCTCCTGCATCCTCACCCTACCTGGAATCTCACAGGACTTGGCCCATATTCTGCCAGCTTTCCTGAGGGCAGCCACCACTTGGGGCTTCCCTTCTCCTGGGATGAATGTGGACAGAATGAGGATCAGAGCCAGAAAAAAGGCTGATGAATCACAGATATAAGAGCCACCACAGTTTGGAGCAGGTACGTTCAATGAGGCGAAGGGATTCAAGTGATTTGCTAAGAAATGAGCAAATCTTCCTTACTAGAATATTCTCACAACTGCTTTGCAAAACAGCTCCTATGTACTGAGACCAAAAAGCCTTAGAGATTAAAATGATCCAATTCTATGACATAGGCAGGATAAAAGGATTAAACTTTCTTTTTTTTATTTTTAGGAAGGGAAAAAAGGTAGACAAAGGAATATAAAATTTCCTTCAAATCATAGCAGGGAAAACAGCTTCCATTTAAAAAGGCAGAACTGGTCTTTTAGAGTCTAGTTTTACCTCCAAAAATCATATCTTCTACGTCTTTGCATCTCTTTATAATGATGGCACATACTAGAATGTTCCATGAATCTCCAAATATGCTAAACCATATTATTGTTTGAGCTTAGAAAATTTGGCTCCTTATAAATACCAAAGTGACTGTACTTTCTTGTACTTTTCTGAAAAAATGAAGTGCAATACAATTATTTATATTTTAAGAGGACTCTTCAAAAATTGTGAGTTCCCGGGGGGCGACAGCCAGGACTGTAGATCACTAGCCCAGACCACATCTTCTCCTATGTTGTCCCAGGGACTCAAAGTGGCATGGGATGTCCCAGAAAATAAAATGTTAAGAGGCCAACCAGATGGTGCTTGACAAAGTACAAAGGCCGTGGCATGTGTCTCACATCTGTGGTATGTCACATGGATCAAGGGGAAGGACCACATGTCCACGGCGCCCCGGAACAGACTTGGAGATGGCCATGGACAGGGCTGGCTGTGCCCAGGCAGGGCTTTGCTGGCCACCCTGCTGCAGTGGGGTGTGGACGAAACCTTGGGGAGGCAGTTGCAGAATGAGTGGCTGGTGGGAAGGGCCGGGGGTGCTGCCAAGGAAGTGCCCCGTCCCTGCCCCTTACCTTCGACTTCGACCTCATGAAAGGGAATCCCACACTGCATTTGAGGAAGTCCGATTCCAGCAGTTCACAGGAAATGCCCATTTCCTCCTGAAAGACAAAAAGTACCAAGAGATGGGCTGGCTGCACCAGGACAAGTATGTGGAGGAGCCCCAGGGAGGCAAATCCAGGCTTCAGCAGACATGGTCCTGCTATAGGGAAGTTCTCAGAAAACAGCCACTGTTGGCTGTGCTGGAATGAGGAGCCTCTGACAGGCCAAGTCCCCATCCTCCTCTGACTGCCCAGTCGCCCCGCCGCCACACTTGCCAGAGGTTCTCTGGGAAGACAGTGCAGAGGACAAAACCACTCTTCATTCTTTTTTTTTCTTTATCATGTTTGTTATTGTATATCAGAGTTTCCCTAACTGTGTTCTGTAAAACATTAGTTCTGTGGGTATTACATTTTAAAAAAGGGTTTTGGGGTCAAAAAGTTTGGAAGATGTAGGGATAAAAACAGTTAAAAATGTGATTTTTTTTTAAAGCAATTATTTTTTTTTGTATTTTATTTTGTTTTTTTTATACAGCAGGTTCTTATTAGTAAGAACACTCTTCATTCTTAATCAGCCCTTTGGCTCTGATCCCTAGTGCTCTCCTGGAGAAACGGGACAGCCCACACGTGAGCTGGATGCCTCCTTAGGTTTGCATTAAAAGGCATCCAAGTTGCCTTTCTGGCTCACACCCTAATCTTGCCTTTCAAAACCTTACTAGTTGAGGAAAAATAAACGCTAAGAAAATCGCACCAAGGAAAACACAGGGATTCCTTCTACAGCATGAAGCAATGAGGGCTGAGCTGCACCCTCAGCAAGCCTTCCCAGGGTGGGGGTGGGTGCAAGGGCAAGGAGAGGGTTCCCAGCATAGCTGGCCTGGGCTGGACTCTACAGACAGGCACGAGAAAACCAGGAAAGGGGCCGTGGGGAGCTGCCATCTTACCACCTGCACACATAGTTTACAACCAAAGTCAAAGAAAAGCAGGAGGCTCTTCATAATCCACAGGGCCTCTCCGAGTCACTGAGACCAAATCAAGACTTCTGAGGGGAGACAGAATGTTTGCAGATATGGGAAAAGGAGAAGGCACAGAACAGAACTAGCACTGGCTGAATGTCTAGAAGCTGGGGTGCTGGAGTTCAATGAGGTCATGTGACTTCCTCAAGGTCATTCTTTGTTTTTTTTCTTTTTTTTTTTGGGTACGCCGGCCTCTCACTGTTGTGACCTCTCCTGTTGCAGAGCACAGGCTCTGGACGCGCAGGCTCAGCGGCCATGGCTCACAGGCCTAGCCACTCCGCGGCATGTGGGATCTTCCCGGACCGGGGCACAAACCCATGTCCCCTGCATCGGCAGGCGGACTCTCAATCACCGCGCCACCAGGGAAGCCCCCAAGGTCATTCTTGACTGACTCTAAAACCTACCTCCTTCCCCTACCAAGGCCCTGATCTTCTCAAGGGCCTTGGCAACTCTGCAACACACAACGGCAGCCAAAAGGAACCAACCTGTGTGGATTCTGGCTCTGAAATGTCACCCATGCTCCCTCCTCCAATTTCCAAGACCTGCACCTCAGCCCAGACCCACACTTCCAGGTAGATGGGTGAAATAAAAAAAGTTTAAGTTGTGAGTCTAATCAGAAAAAAAAAAAATGTGAGCACTTACCACAACATACGTACTTAGTTACATGTTATACACATATACTGTTACACTAATATATTATGAACATTATCAAACACAAAAAGTAGAAATGACAAAAAACAAACAACTCATCTGTGGGATTAGAAGTCAAGATAATAATTGGCGGGTGGCAAGTGGAAGGGAGTTCTCGGGGTGCTGGGGATGTTCTCAGGTGTGATCATTGTGAAAATTCACTGAGCTGGGCCCCTAATGATTTGTGTACTTTTGTCTGTTTTCTAAACATCAATAAAACTTTATTTAGAAAATAGCAACAAAGCAACAGCAACACAAACAACCCGAAATACAAGGAAATAAAACATAGGAGATATATAAATATAAAAGGGAACTGTAGCTTATCTTTCAGCATTCAATCTAGATATCTAATGGGGATAACTGATCTCAGTAACTGTTAACTTTTCTAACTGTTCTCCATGACCTTAGTCAGCATCCCTCATGTGGGCTTTGGACCTCCTGCATTAAAATTGGTTTGGGATCGCCTTAAAAAATACAGATTCCCAGGCCACGCCCCAGTGGTCTGAGTATACTCTGGGATTGTGGGGCCTGAGATAAGCATTTTCAATTCATGGTAGGTGATATGGTAAGTGTTCCACTGTGCAATGCTTTGGGAGCCACTGCTATGAGTTTGCCTTTTTTTTCGTCCATTCTACAGGCTGCTTGAGGAATCTTCTTAAAATGCTTCTCTCCATTATGAACATAATAAAGCTCAAAATCTTAACACTGGCATCCATTTGGCCCCTACCTCTCTGAGCACATATGTCACTATTCCACAAATATCCTTTTCTTGGTCTCATTTCCACACTTTCCACACTTTTGCCTAGTTTTTCCCACTGTCAGGAACACCTTTCCTCAGCCCTTCTTCCAAGGCTTCCTTCACCCATCTTGCCCCAAACACTCGTGGGTGGTAGGTAAGTTTGCATATCTAATATGGGCATGGCACAGGACTTGGAACGGACCCTGAGCATCCATTGAGTGGCTGAGTCATCACATCACCTCCCAAGATCAGCACTGAGGACACAGATCTGAATGACACTAGTCCCTGTCCTTGAAGAGCTCACAGCTTAGAAGGGGGACATCTTCCAGCAGAGAAACAGACATTTACAGGGCAGTGTGAGGGGCTGCTCTTGGAATCTCGAGAACATGCAGCGGCAATCTCAATAAGGAAAACCAGTGAATGATTTCTCAAATGCTGTCTCACGAACTGCATGGCCCAAAGATTGGTCCTAATGATTCACTGTTGGTGGCCTCTTGTCACCATCCTCTTCCTTATAATTCCTCGCCCAAGAAACAATATCCACAATTGGCCCAAGTACAAGCTACTCTAAATCCTAGCTAACTGGTCTGTGGGCATTAGAGGCAGTGAGCTCAAGCCTAGGTGACCTTAACTCCCTGGGACAGTCTTGGTTTATGTCTGTTGTCCTGGTGTAATTACTCTCAAGAGCATCCCAGGATATACATAAATTATATTACTCAACCCAGTTCCAAAGCTCAATATCTCACTGGAAATCCCTTTCAAACCAGGACAGAGGTTTTCAATTTAAGTCAAAGGTCTATCTGTTCTCAAAGATTTATCACCCCGAAGACTTCTTCAGGTTTTACATGGATGTGAAGGACTCACTAGGCTTTAAAAATTTACTCTGGAAATTGAGGGGACCTCCGTTTACTCAGCTTTGATCTAAGACTGCTTTTGATTGTCTGAGAACTGCTGAACTACTTTATTTTTGTTAATTCCAAAATGCGAGGAAATAACATTTAAACCAGCATTTATTGCATTATTCCACATCTCTCTTCCACCCTACTCAGTCTAATAGAAATGACAGAATTCCGGTTGGATCTTGGGGTGGGGGACAAGCAAAAAGAGTGAAAACCAAAGACATCTGTAGGAATGAAAGCGCTCAGTATATGGTCATGACTCACGCGCTCCCGGACGCTGCAACAGGGAAGAATGTCATGGATCACCCTTCTGCGCCTGTCAGCACCAGAACAGCCCTCCCATGGCTATGTAAGTCCCCTTGACTGAAAGGCTTTAATTCTGTTTTCCACCCTTCACTGCAGCTATGAGGCAAAGAGGCCCCCAGAGCATGGGCTTCAGCAAACACTGTGACTGCTGGTGTGGACGGCACAAGATCTGCACCCAGAACCCCTTTACTAGATGACTTCCAGTCCCTGGCTGAATGGGAGCTGCTTTGCCTGGGAGGTTATAACACCCTTCCTCTGCAGCCTATGATTGACATGGGTGCAAAAGGCTGCCCCTTTGCCTCAAGGTGAGACCAGCTGTGCTGTGCAACTCATGTTCCAGAGCCCCCGTGGGATTAGGCTGAGAGCACATACCTGTTTGCCTCTCTCTTCTGCCCCATTCTGTTCCCTTCACTCCTTTTCTCCCAAGAGCATTTCTGCAGTAAATCATTTGCCCAGGAATCCCCATCTCAGGTTCTTCTCCGGTGAACCTGACTTCAGACAATACTCTTTATAGATGAGGCTGCTGGCACTGAGAGCTTCTGGAAAGTACTGGGCATTTGTTCCCAGGTGGGGAGAGGCAATGGGAGGGGAACCCTCACATGCTAACGAATGTTGTTCAAATCCATACTAACCCAAGGAAAAACTTTCTAACTACTGGTTATAAAGTCAGCATAGCTGCCCCCATCAGGGAGCACTTAATCTCAAAGCAGTATCAGCACCCCCTTTGCTCTGGTTTTAGATCCTGCCTGGGCATAACCTTAAAAAACAGGGTCACTATGGAGCTAGGTACCACCCCCGCCCACCTCCACCCCCACTCCATAGTCAGGCAGGCATCCTGTAGTCAGAGAAGTCTCAGGGAACCTTTAAAAGATGAATGTTGGGGTGATGTAGCTAAACTAGCTGTGCCCTGGCTTTAGACAGCATCAGGAATAGTGATTTAGTGGGGGAACGGTGCTTTTTACCTCCACCAGGCATATGGTACCCCACCAGGAGGTACATGGGAGAGATTCTAGGGACAAGGCTTCTCCGTGGCTCTGATTCCTTCTGTGCCTCAATCATTGCTTACATTGACTTTAGCTTGGAGAACTTACCTTCAGCACTGTTGCAAGACTTATGATTACCAGCTCTCAGCTGATGGGTAATGTGGACCAGTGAATAGACTGTCTACCCTTTGGCCCTGATTGCCAGACAGTGTAGAATCTGATTATCCAACTCATATGCAGTGCAAATCTACTAAAACCTGTTGCAAAGGTGCAGGCTTTCATGAAATCAATGAAAGTGATGCTCAGAAACTGCTCAAACCACTCAAAGCCTCTGATTAAGTCTGGATCTGGCAGAGTTAGATCAGTTAACAACTGTTGAAGAAGTCAAAATTATCCTTGGATGATAACACTTTAAGATGCTTGAGAAGATAAG